TTTGGTTCGGTTTTATTTCGGTCTCTGATACAGTAGCAAATGAAGCCCGTGTTTGGAAGTTTGATCTAGAAATTTCTCGACAATATTCAATCGTTTCTTTGTTCAAGAATTACATAGCTGATATTCAGATAGTCTTATTGATTTCATTTGATTAAAGTATTGCCGTCCTATCATAACTAAAGATGATGCCGGATATAGTTTTTTTACTTTGTTACCTTTTCTTTTCTTATTTAATTTTCTCCAAATTTGAATAGATATCTCTCATTGTGAGTTTTATTTCTGTTGGATATCTATAATAACTGTAGCATGTTTTTCTTGAAGTTTTCGAAAATATCGTTGCAGTAGTGAAGATACTTAATGTGTAATCAGAAAGATTTTGTTGTTTTATTTTGTATGAGATAAAAGATGCCGTCAAAGTGCGTATATAATGAGAGGAACTACAAAAGACAGGTAGTGAACATGCATTTCGAACTTAAACATTGAGTTTCATTGAAGTTTAAACTTGTAAAAATGGGCCACAGCTCTCCCAATGTATGCTGAAGTCGTAGCGGATAGTGATCTGTGGGAAATATTCCATTGCTTTATCGTTCTCATGTCTGACAGTCTAGAGTCCTGCTTGGGTATGATTTTTGGGACCCAAATCCGACTTTATCCGACACAGCTGAACCTGAACTCGACCCAACCCGATGCAGTCACCCTATTCAAAGATTCTACGAAACGATACCTTTATATCCAATTAGTTTTGCATCTGCTGAGGACAGATACACAGAGAATGATAGATTGCGAAAAGAAAAACTCAAAAAGTTAGACAGCTTTCCAAAGTTCAAAGTTGGCCTACATCCAATGTAAAACCTGAGTATGACTTTCGGTAAGTAAGGTGCAACCGATGTAAAAATGAAGGAACATTCGTTTTAAAATTTTTAATGCAGCATTCAATAGAGCACGTGACAATGATCATGAATATCTGGTTTTCAATTTTTCTACATCCTTCGTTGAACCCAAAAATTCCAAAAAGCTTTCGGCTTCTGATAAACCTTTTTTTCAACGGCTTTTCATGAAGTCCCGTTTTCGGGACCCAAGATATGGTCAATTCAACCTCAAAAGGACATATTCTTGCTCAGCGTAAAATAGGGATGCACGTTTCCGGTTTTTATCGGTTCCAAAGAACCGGAACCGATGGAACCAATTAAACCGGAACCAATAAGAATCGGAATCGAAGCCCGTAAAAATCGGTTGAAACCGGGGTGTGAGGGCGTGGGTAGGTGTGTAGATATGGGTGTGAGTGTGAATGAGTGGATGGGTCTCGAGGTGTACGGATGTGATTGAGAGGATGTGGGTGGGTGTGCGTGTATTTGTCGAAACCACTACTCACCCAAACCATTGATTTCGATTTTGGTTCTTATCGGTTCCTATCGGTTTCAGTTTCGGTTTTTATCGGTTCCGGTTCCGGTTCTCATCGGCTCCTATCGGTTCCGGTTCCGGTTCTTCTCGGTTCCTATCGGTTCCGGTTTCGGTTCCAACCGGTTCCATCGGTTTCGGTTCTAAAACCGGAACCGGCATCGGTTAAAATCGGAAACGGTGCAACCCTAGTGTAAAATGATAGATCAGAATATGTCTTCAACGACTTTCTAAACACACCTATTGCTTAGCTAGTACTTTTACAAGAAAGTGTTCAGAAACCCTCAACAACTCTTCTTTCAAACTTTTCACAGGCTTCTTCTGACGTGCTGCAACGGATTTCTTTACGTAAATCGACTCGTCAGATAATTCTGCAAAGAACTTTACGACTAGATTTTTAAGTTTTTTTCTTTCTAGAGAAGACCCATGCTAAATTTCAATCATGAGTTTTCAGGTTTCTCTTGATGTTCAGCATATAGAACTCATACAGTTACCAAATAACGGGTGGGCCATAATAAATGTCCCACTTTTGCATTTCATTTTTCCACAACTTAATACGTTGTATTAAAAAAACAAAATATACCATAACATGCAGCGTGAAAAGCTCTACAATTTACACAAGACCGCTTTTTTTATAGTTGCACTTTTTACTTTACAAGTGATCAAAATTTGGAGCGGTTAAATTTCGACTGTGCGAAAATTGATCGCAGAGAATTTTGCTTTTATACAAAACGATTATAATAAGCTGTCGCGTGCAAAATGTAGAGCTTTTCTCGCTGCATCTAGTGATATATTTTGCTGTTTTTGTAATAAGAGATATCAGGTGATAAAAAGATGAAATAAGAAAAAAAACAATGTATCTCGTAGAAAAAAAAAACTGTTTTCGCGTGGTCAAAATTTGATTGCTTAGCTGATTTTGGAAACAAAAAGTGCACCTATAAAAAAAGCGGTCTTCTATAAATTGTAGAGCTTGTCAAGCTGCATCTTGTGATGTATTTTGTTTCTTTTTAATAAAACACATCAGATGATAAGTAAGAAAAAAACAAATTGGTCGTGTATTGAAAAATGACTTTTTCGCAGCACCAAAATCTAATCTCTCAGAATTTTTGATAGCTTTGAAAACAAAAAGTACCACTGTAAGAATAGCTGTCTTGTATAAATTGTAGAGCTTCTCCAGTTGCATCTAATGGTATGTTTTGTTTTCTTTTAAATAGAAGATATCAGGTAATAAAAAGATGAAACGAGAAAAAACGAATTCATCTTTTACCAAAAAAAAAATCATTTTCGCACAGTCAAAATTTGATCGCTCTATATTTTATCGGTTTTGAAAGCAAAAAGTGTAACTGTAGGAAAAGCTGCCTTGTATAAATTGTAGAGCTTTTTACGCTGCATCCTGTGGTATATTTTGTTTTTCTAATACAACGTATTAAGTTGTGGAAAAATAAAATGCGAAATTGGGATATTTATTATGGTCCACCCGTTAGATAACAAACCATGAGAAATTTGATGAACGTGATATTGCCAACTTTAAACGGTTCCCTAGGCAGTCTTTAACACGATACAGCAAAGATTTTAAAGATATTTCGCCAGAAAATATGTCTTAACCGGCTTTGGAGCTGAGACGTGCTAGCGTTAGAAAAAATGTGATACTATTCTTCGTTTATTTACCTTCTTTCCACCTACCAGGAGACTTTAGAAAGTGGCTGAAATAATTGAAAAGGACTCAACTACGATAAATAAATTTTTGAGCTTCCCAACATCAATCATACAAATTCTTTTTACCGACCCGCGTATAAAACTTGGTTGCCACATGCGGGAGGGACTAAAAAACTATCTGGGAGATACGTCTCTGGAGCAAAAGAAGATAAATATTCACACCTTCCGGCATGTTATATCTCTACATAATGGTTAACGGTCCTTTAATGAAGTTCATCGATTCTGTATCATGATGTGTCATTTTCCAGTGTTGGGAATGTCACTCACTTTAGTCGATTGAACTACAGAGGAATAAAATAGTCGAAATGAAAAGTATCAAAGAATGTTATATGAATAATCATAATATTAATTTGATAGCGTTGATTTCTACTGATATGTTAAATGCTAAGATGCTTTAAAGTGTATGTCGTGATCGACTCGTTTTATACTAATATAGTCAACGTATAGTATCGTGTTAGTCTATTTGTATTTACCTGAACTACAAAAATTCATTAATGATGACGGTAGACATACTGCTTGGAGTGAACAACATGTGTTAACCACACAAACAGAAGTATTTGATGTACAACTAAAGTTCTTACATGGTTCCGGAATAGAACAAAACACACCAGGTGCACAATAATGAATGTTGTCGAGCGTAACATAATCAAAACACGATATTGCTAGTGAACGGCAAGGTTCATTAATATTCGAGCTTTTACTACATTGTTCTAAAGAACAGTTTGAGGCTGGTTGTGATGCAGAGTGAGGCGAAGAAGAAGCCGTCACTCCGATCAGATCATTATCTTCAGTACAATAATATTCATTCTGTTGTGTTACTTGACCTAAAAGTAGAGTATATCAAGCATTAATAAAATAATACGAAATAAATTAATTAACCTTGTACACATGACAAAACAACAATCACAAACAGATTTACTTGAAATCTCATGATTACTGTGTTTCTTGTCAACAAATGATACATTTTACTAAAAGGCTTAGTCTGCTTTTTCTTTTCTTTCCCACATCACTTTTACAGCATCTCATTCATTCAGAAGGACGCAGAGAAACAAAATTTCTATGATGTTACACAAACATCAGTGGTGCTTTAGGTGATTTCTAGAGAGAGAAAAGCACGCTTCTCAATGTTTCTCCATTTACTCTGCTACCGATAGAAAAAGAAAGCATGGTACGACATTGAGTTTGTTTGTATTATTCGAGTGTTATTTTGAAGTTATTAAGGTTGCAGCAAAACCTTGATTATTTTTTGGATCACTTTGCCACTCTCTTTATCATAAGGTGTGCAACGTTTGTTTGTTTTTTGCCGGTGACTCATTATTTCTAATGAAGAGTGTGCGACAAATATAAGCAACACCTGTATGGAAAGTGATAATCGTTAAAATTTGAATAATTGATTTAAGTCTCTGGGTTCATTGAGATTTGTTCGAAACTTAAGAATGCAAAATCTCCATTTTTCTCGGTATATCTAAGAAAAGTGACAAACTGAACAACCGACAGTATTCGGGATGTTTAATGAGAACAAATCATTTTTTCATACAGCTTTTAGTGTTTTCGATTTTACGTTGTAACTATTCATCTATTTAATTCTAAATATATTTCACAAGAAAATGGAAAGATGTTTTTGCTACAAAGCTAAATATGTTAGGGTGTGAGTGTGGGTTTGTTGGGTATGGGATGTTTGTGTTGATGTAACTGTGGCTAAGTGTGTAGATGAATCATCTCAAAGAACACCCACACCTCACCCATCTTCACACGATACCAACACTTAATCATCTTCTACGGATTCTTGGCAATGGTCAATTACTATATTGAAGCCAGTGTGTTTATCTGTTTTTTAGTGTTTTTCTATGGGTAAAATCTTATTATCTTATTTTTCTATAAGATTAATGATGAAAGCTTATTTTTCAATGCTTTTACAAAGATTTCCCCGAGATGTTCAAACTTGTTCATTAATTTTATCAAGTTGTAAGTTAAGACAAAGTAAAAAAAATTCTGTTTAGTTCTTCAATTCCAGATGCTTATGAAACACGTGGCATTATATATGATTGGAAACCTGATGAACATAATGGTGTAGAACTAGAACATTTAGAGTTATCTCAATTTGATTTATTTAATTATAGAATTTCAACGAGAGAAATTCAATTAAATGATCGTATGTATTGATACAAAAAAAACTTTTTTTTTCATTTTTTTGAAAGGACATCATTCTGTATTTCAACTTGCTCTTCAAATGCGTTTATGCCCAGGTCGAAAAGTACGGGCCGGTTCCGGCAGGAAAACACCGGAAGTCGCCGGAACTGGGTGGCAGTATTCCGGCCGGAAATTCTCCGTATTTTTTCCGGTGACTTTCCGCCAACTTCCTGCAGGAAACGGGAGGAAGTTGACCGGAAGTCACCGGAAAAAATACGGAGAATTTCCGGCCGGAATACTGCCACCCAGTTCCGGCGACTTNTTGTGAGTTTTATTTCTGTTGGATATCTATAATAACTGTAGCATGTTTTTCTTGAAGTTTTCGAAAATATCGTTGCAGTAGTGAAGATACTTAATGTGTAATCAAAAAAATTTTGTTGTTTTATTTTTTATGAGATAAAAGATGCCGTCAAAGTGCGAATATAATGAGACGAAGTGCAAAAGACGGATAGCGAACATGCATTTCGAACTTAAACATTGAGTTTCATTGAAGTTTAAACTTTCAAAAATGGGTCATAGCTCTCCCACTGTATGTTGAAGTTGTAGCGGATAGTGATCTGTGGGGAGTATACCATTGCTTTATTGTTCTCATGTCTGACAGTCTAGAGTAATGCTTGGGTATGATTTTTTGGACTTAAATTCGACTTCATCCGACACAGCTGAAACTGAACTCGACCTATCCCAATGCAGTTAACCTATTTAAAGATTCTACGGAACGATACCTTTATATAGAATTAGTTTTGCATTTCCTGTGAACAGATACACAGAGAATGACATATTGTGAAAAGGCAAAAACGTAAAAACTTAGACAGCTTTTCAAAATTCAAACTTGGTCCAACCATTCAATGAAAAACCTGAATATGACCTTTGCTAAGTAAGGTGCAACTGACGTAAAAATGAAGGAAAATTTGTTTTAAAATTTGTAATGCAGCAATCAATAGAGCAAGTGATAATGATCATGAATATCTGATTTTTAATTTTTCTACATCCTTCCTTGGACGCAAAATGCCAAATAACTTTCGGCTTCTGATAAACTTTTTTTGAACGGTTTTTCGTGAAGTCCCGTTTTCGAGACTAAAAATATGATCAAATCGACTTCAAAAGAACATATTCTTGCTCAGCATAAAACAGGAATGCACGGTTCCGGTTTTTATCGCTTCCAAAGTACCGGAACCGATGGAATCGATTGGAACAAGAACTGATAAGAACCGGAATCGAAACCCGCAAGAATTTGTTGGAACTGGGGTGTGAGGGTGTATATTTGTCGAAACTACTACTTACCCACATCATTGATTTCGATTTTGATTCTTATCGGTTCCTATCGGTTCCAGTTTCGGTTTTTATCGGTTCCGGCTCCAACCGGTTCCATCGATTTCGGTTCTAAAACCGGAACCGGTGCAAACATAGTGTTAAATGATGAATTAGAATATGTTGTCAACGACTTTGCTGAACACACCCGTTGCCCAGCTAGTATTTTTACAAGAAAATCTCGAGAAATCCTCAACGACTGTTCTTTCAAACTTTTCGCAGACCTCTTCTTACTTGCTGCGACCGGTTTCTTTACGTAAGTCGACTTGTCAGATAATTCTGCAAAGAATTTTACGACTGGATTTTGAAATTTTTTTTTCTTTTCAGCGAAGACCCATGATAAATTTCAATCATGAGTATTCAAGTTTCTCTTGATATTCACCATATAGAACCCATATAGTTACCAAAAATATAACAAACCATAGGGAATTTGATGAACATGAAACTGCCAACTTCAAACGGATTCCTAGGCGAACTTTGAACAGATACAGCAAAGATTCTAAAGATATTTTGACAGAAAATATATCTTCACTGGATTTAGAGCTGAGACGTGTTAGTGTTAGAAAAATGTGATACTGTTCTTCATTTATTTACCTTCTTTTCACCAACTAGGAGACTTTAAAAAGTGGCTGAAATAATTAAAAAGAACCAACTATGATAAATAACTTTTTTGAGCTTCCCAACATCAAGCATACAAATTCTTTTAACTGGCCTGCTTATAAAACTTGGTTGCCACATGCGGGTGGGACTAAAAAACTATCTGGGAAATACGTCTTTGGAGCAAAAGAAGATAAATATTCACACCTTTCGACATGTTATGTCTCTACACAATGGTTAACGGTCCTGTAATGAAGTTCATCGATTCTGTATCATGACGTGTCATTTTCGAGTGTTGGAAATGTCACTCATTTCACTCGATTGAACTTCAGAGGAATAAAGTAGTTGAAATGAAAAGTAACAAAGAATATTATATGAATAATCATAATATTAATCAGAGGTGCAGTCGGTCTACAGTTTTGACGACCGGTACCAGTTCAAACCGGTCAGATCAGACTGGACCTGCCGGTCTACCGGTAATCGACCGGTCGTACACGGTTTTCACCAATACAAAATCTATCTTTTGCATAGTGATAGTTCATGTAATCTCTTTTCACCGAAATTTGTATACGAATTCTGTACAGGATAGCATTAAGATTCCGCAGTTCTGAGCTAGTTTATGCAATAAAACAGGGAAAAAAGATAGACCGGCCGGTCTGAAACCCTTACCGGTACGGGACCGGGCCGGACTGAACCGGACCGGTCAGTAACCGGTACTGGTTCCATCTCTGATATTAATTTTACAGCGTTGATTTCTAATGATATGTTAAATGTTAAGATCCTTTAAACTGTATGTCGTGGTTGGCTCTTTTTATACTAATATAGTCAACATATAGTATCGTGTTAGTCTCTTTGTATTTACCTGGACTACAAAAATTCATTAATGATACTGGTAAGCATACTGCTTGTGGTGAACAGCATGTGTTAACTACACATACAGCAGTATTTGATGCACAAGTAAAGCCGTTACATGGTTCCAGCACAGAACATAATACACCAGGTGCACAGTAATGAGTGTTGTTTTNTGGGGAGTATACCATTGCTTTATTGTTCTCATGTCTGACAGTCTAGAGTAATGCTTGGGTATGATTTTTGGGACTTAAATTCGACTTCATTCGACACAGCTGAAACTGAACTCGACCTATCCCAATGCAGTTAACCTATTTAAAGATTCTACGGAACGATACGTTTGTATAGAATTAGTTTTGCATTTCCTGTGGACAGATACACAGAGAATGACATATTGTGAAAAGGCAAAAACGTAAAAACTTAGACAGCTTTTCAAAATGCAAACTTGGTCCAACCATTCAATGAAAAACCTGAATATGACCTTTGCTAAGTAAGGTGCAACTGACGTAAAAATGAAGAAAAATTTGTTTTAAAATTTGTAATGCAGTAATCAATAGAGCAAGTGATAATGATCATGAATATCTCATTTTTGAATTTTTCTACACCCTTCCTTGGACGCAAAATGCCAAATAATTTTCGACTTCTGATAAACTTTTTTCAACGGCTTTTCGTGAAGTCCCGTTTTCGAGACCAAAAATATGATCAAATCGACTTCAAAAGAACATATTCTTGCTCAGCATAAAACAGGAATGCACGGTTCCGATTTTTATCGCTTCCAAAGAACCGGAACCGATGGAATCGATTGGAACAAGAACCGATAAGAACCGGAATCGAAACCCGCAAGAATTTGTTGGAACTGGGGTGTGTGGGTGTATATTTGTCGAAACTACTACTTACCCACATCATTGATTTCGATTTTGATTCTTATCGGTTCCTATCGGTTCCAGTTTCGATTTTTATCGGTTCCGGCTCCAACCGGTTCCATCGATTTCGGTTCTAAAATCGGAACCGGCGCAAACATAGTGTAAAATGATGAATCAGAATATGTTATCAACGACTTTGCTGAACACCCGTTGCCCAGCTAGTATTTTTACAAGAAAATCTGGAGAAACCCTCAACGACTGTTCTTTCAAACTTTTCACAGGCCTCTTCTTACTTGCTGCGAAACGTTTCTTTACGTAAGTCGACTTGTCAGATAATTCTGCAAAGAATTTTACGACTGTATTTTGAATTTTTTTTTTCTTTCCATCAAAGACCCATGATCAATTTCAATCATGAGTTTTCAAGTTTCTCTTGATGTTCACCATATAGAACCCATATAGTTACCAAAAAGATAACAAACCATAGGGAATTTGATGAACATGAAACTGTCAACTTCAAACGGATTCCTAGGCGAACCTTGAAAAGATACAGCAAAGATTCTAAAGATATTTTGACAGAAAATATGTCTTCACTGGATTTAGAGCTGAGACATGTTAGCGTTAGAAAAATGTGATACTGTTCTTCATTTATTTACCTTCTTTTCACCAACTAGGAGAATTTAAAAATTGGCTGAAAAAATTAAAAAGAACCAACTATGATAAATAACTTTTTGAGCTTCCCAACATCAAGCATACAAATTCTTTTAACTGGCCTGCTTATAAAACTTGGTTGCCACATGCGGATGGAACTAAACAACTATCTGGGAAATACGTCTTTGGAGCAGAAGAAGATAAATATTCACACCTTCCGACAGGTTATGTCTCTACATAATGGTTAACGGTCCTTTAATGAAGTTCATCGATTCTGTATCATGACGTGTCATTTTCGAGTGTTGGAAATGTCANTAAGTAGGTGATATAATGACATAAATAAACGCAAATGCACCTGGAGTACAGATACCATAAGGCATAACACATACATCACCACGCTTTTCTTTAAATGCAAGTTTTCGAGCCATATAAACATAATAAAAATTACCCCATAACATGGCTAATCCAGTTCTATTATGAAATGATAAATTATTTATATTCGTTCAATATATTTACCTACCCAGGTAGAATCTTACTATAAACAATTTTATCTCCTAAAATGGGTTGTAAACTTAAGATAATTGCTAGTAATGTTGATATATTATTCATAAATAACGAAACAAAACCATCAATATCACCGCGTACAAATAAAGGATATTTTGAATTTGATCGAAATGCACTAATCCATTCTTTAGGATGAAATGTTAATAATCCTTTCACTTCATTTTTAACATTTTGATAATGATCGAAAAACGATTTATGATTTGTTAAAAGACTATTTTTATTGATAGACATCACGAAGATAATATTTCAAAAGAAATAAGTCTTATCTATACTTACATTTTACTTTTCGCTCTTATTTTTTTCTTTCTTCATGATAAAGTAAAAATGACCAAGCATATGATAATAACACACCTATGATTTTTTATATACGTTGTATGTTTCTTGTTATCACTATAATATAAACATACGACAATCGCTCTATCTAAACAAAAAAGGACGTAGTGTTTCACAACAAAACGACATAGAAAATGAGATATACTTGGTTGAATTAAGAATTAAATTAATTTATTATATATTAATACATTAAAAAAAATGAATTCTAATTTCTAAATAATAATGTTATACTCTCACACCCTCCCATCCATCCTTGATAACCATACGCAATTTGTTTCCTCACGAATAAAAAAATTACTCACAAGAAATGTATCTAACAGTTTCAAACATTTAAGTTGAATTCAACGATTGGACTACTACTGAAGTATTCAACTATCGAACGTTTGTTTTTCTTGTGTGTTAAGATCTTGCGGTACTTTCAGTAGAAGAGATGCCCTGTATGTTATACATCCGTGAAATACTTAAACGTCAACTAATTAATTTTCAATTATTCAATAATTGATTTTAACTCTCAAGTATAACATAAAGTATAGATCGAAAGTTTCTTGGCAAAATATTCGATCATTTTTTGTGTATTTAAATGCATTCGAAAAGGTTGAGAAGGAGTATATTGAATTTAGAATTTTGTGCACTTTCAGAATATATGCTTAAAAATCTTCTCGACTATTGAGCTATTAGTAAATCTTAATGAGACTCGAATAGTTTTTCTAGAATAAAACAACTTCAAATACACTTTTTTCGAGATAGGCCACAATATTTTATAGAATATATTGGAAGATACAGAAAATAATTCTCTACAAAGTAATAAATTCTTTTCAAACAATTGAGACTCAGTTAAAGCTTTTATAGGGTGTGGTTGTTGATATCATTCAAATCTACACTCACACCCACACCCACCTACAAAGTGTGAACTGCCAAGGGGAATTCAATCTTCTAAACAAAATACTATCGTAATACTCCTCTTTTATCCTTTGCTTACTGTTCCCATACTATTTGTTATTCATTAAGGGAACGAAACAGAGATGACAATGCCTGTGACTATACACAGAAATTTAATCGAAGCAACATTTTCAATTGTAATCTGATGTACTTGTATGCGCATTTAAGATCAGATATTCCCTTATCAAAAATTCAAACACACTAATGAGCCATACAACAAATAAAAAAATGTCTTCCATTCATTTCATCTCATTCCACAAACTTACCCAACTCAAGTCACAAAACATTTAACTTCACACATCGATTCAAACCACGCCCGTTGAAATGAGCAGCAGAGGGAGCTAATGATACTACTCTCGAGAGAACCACAACCATTACAGACAACCATAAGCAATGATACACCCTCACTGTATACAAAAAACAAACAAAAGTTTATTCGTCGAATTAAACCAAAAAAAGTGCATCCTGACACGAATTATTTGGAGCACTACTACATTCATTCATGGAGATCAGATGAATTCAACCACACGTTTCCAATCATCCAATATTCTCACCAAAACAATACGATAAAAAGTGTCAGTTTCATAAAACTCCTTCAATGAAACAACATCATTCCCCACTTAACTCGACCACCGTATAAATAAGGCAGCAAACATTTTTCATCCCCTGTTCCAATTCCAAAAAGTTCGAGTGTAGTGAGTGTCTGTTTCAAAGAGTGAGTCATTGACACAAACAGAATATCAGAACGTTACTTTGTTTTGTTCAAGAGCTTTCGCAAGATATTGTGCTCCTTTGGCACGCATGCCATTGCGATCGAGGTCCAGTGTAGTCAGTGTCTGCTTTTAAGATACAATCAGTGATATAAAGACAATGTGACAATGCTACTCTGTTTTGTTCAAGAGCTTCTGCAATATGCTCTATTCCTTCGTGACCTATATTATTATAGCGCAGTTTCAGCATAGTGAGTGTCTGTTTTGAATAGACAATAAGTGATATACACAGAATGTGAAAATCTTACTTTGTTTTCCTTAAGAGCTCTTGCGAGATGTTGTGCTCCTTCATCACCTATTTCATTGGCTACCAGGTGCAGTGTACAGAGTGTCTGTTTTAAGGACGCACCGAGTGATATCAACACAGTATGACCTTCTTACTTGGTTTTGTACAAGAGCTTTTGCAAGATATTCTGCTCCTCCGTCACCCACTTTATTACTTGACAATATGAGTGTAGTCAGCCTCTGTTTTCAAGAAGAAATTATTTATAAAAAGAAAATGCGAGAATGTTACTTTGTTCTGTTCGAGAGCTTTTGCGAGATATCCTGCTCCTTCGGCACCTATTTCATTCCATTCGAGCTGCAGTTCAGTGAGTGTCTATTTTAAGAATCCAATGAGTGATATAGTGAGAATATAATAATCTTACGTCGTTTTCTTTAAGAGCATCACCAAGATATTGCGCTCCCTCGTTACCAATACGATTCTTCGAGAGTTCCAGCGTAGTGAGTGTCTGTTTTCAAAAGACGATCACTGACATAGAGAAAATTCAAGAATATTACTTTCTTTCGTTTAAGAGCTCTAGCAAGATGCTGTGCTCCTACGGCACCTATGCTATTGTGCGAAAGTTTGACTGTAGTAAGTGTCTACTTTAGTCTGATAATGAATGATGCACAGAGCACGTGAGAATGTTACTTTGTTGTTTTTAAGAGCTTTGCCTAGTTATTGTGCTCCTTTGTCACCTATTTCATTACTTTCGAGGTTCAGTGTAGTCAATGTCTGCTTTAAAGACGCAATAAGTGATACACAAAGAATGCGAAAACGTTACTTTGTTTTTTTGAAGAGGTTTCCCAAAATATTGTTCTCCTTCATCATCTATTTCATTACTTTCGAGCTTCAGCGTACTGAGTGTCTATTTTGAAGAGGCAACCAGTGACATAAAGGGAATCTGAGAAGGTTACGTTGTTTTTCTCAAGAGATTCAGCAAGATATTCTAGTCCTTCGTCACCTATTGAATTATCCCAGAGGTCGAGTGTAGTGAGTGTCTGTTTTATATACGCAATGAATAATATACACGGTATTTGAAAATGTTACTTTGTTATACTCAAGACCTTTCCCAAGATGTTGTACTCCTTCATCACGTATCTGATTGGTGCACAGTTCGAGTATGGTCAGTGTCTGTTTTAAAGAAGCAGTGAATGATATACAGAACAACGGATAATATTACTTTGTTTTGTTCAAGAGCTTTGGCAAGATGTACGACTCCTTCGTCACCTATTCCATTCTTCGAGAGTTTTAGTACAGTGACTATCTGTTATAAACAGGTCCTTAATCATGTACAAATAACGCGAAAGTGTTACTTTGTTTTGTTCAAGAGCTTTCGCAAGATGTTTAGCTCCCTCGTCTCCTATTTGATTGGCGCATAGTTCAAGTATAGTGAGTGCCTGTTTTAAAGAGTTAGTGTGTAATATACACAGAATGTAAGAATGTTACTTTATTTTCTTGAAGTGCTTTTCGAAGATGTTGTGCTCCTTCGTGACCTATTTGATTGGTGCAGAGTTCGAGTGTAGTGAGTGACTGTTTTAAAGAAGCAGCGAATGATATACCCAAAATGTCAAAATATTACTTCGTTTTGTATAAGAGCTTTTGCAAGATGTTCAGCTCCTTTGTCACCTATTCCATTATCCGAGAGTTTGAGTGTAGTAAGTATCTGTTTTAAACAGGTACTGAATCTTATAGGCAAAAATGTGAGGGTGTTACTTGGTTTCGTTCAAGAGCTTTCCCAAGATGTTGTGCTCCTTCGTCACCTATTTCATTGGTGCACAGTTTGAGTGCAATGAGTGCCTAGTTGAAAGAGTCGGTGAATGATATAAACAGAGTCTGAAAATGTTACTTTGTTTTTTTCAAGAGCTTTCCCAAGATGTTCTGCTCCTTCTTCACGTATTAGGTTCCATCCGAGGTCGACTATAGTGAGTGTCTGTTGCAAAGAGGCAAAGTGCGATGTATAGAGTATGGGAATCCTACTTTGTTTTGTTCGAGGATGTTTGCAAAATATTTTGCTCCTTTGTCGCCTATTCGATTCCCTGCGAGGTCCACTGAAGTGAGTGTCTGTTTGAAAGAGACAATATACAATATACAGGCAATGTGAGTGTTACTTTGTTGTGTCCAAGGGTTTTTGCAAGATGTTCTACTCCTTCGTCACCTATTTCATTGCCTGTGAGTTTCAGTGTAGTGAGTGTCTGTTTTAAAGGGAAAATGAGAGATATGCAGAGAATGAGAATGTTACTTTGTTTTGTTGAAGAGTTTTTGCAAGACATTCTGCTCCTTCGTCACCTATTTGATTCTCAGCAAGGTTCAGTGTAGTCAATGTCTATTTGTGAGGGGTAATGACCGATATACAGAGAATGTGAGAATGTTACTTTATTTTGTTCCAGAGCTTTAGCAAGATATTGTGTTCCTTGGTCACCGATTTGATTCCTCCAGAGATGGAGTGTAATGAGTGTCTGTTTGAAGGAGACAATGTTTGATATGAAGAGAATGTGAGAATGTTACATTGTTTTGTTCGAGAGCTTCGGCAAGATGCTGAGCTCCTCGGGCATATATACAATTTGAAGAGAGGCTTATCGTAGTGAGTGTCTGTTTGGAATATGTAATGTGTGATATACAGAGAATGTGTGAATGTTACTTTGTTTTCTTGAAGAGCTTTCCCAATGTATTGTGCTCCTTTGCATGCTATTCGATTGTCGGAGAGTTGGAGTGTTGTTAGTGTCTGTTCTAGAGACTGAATGGGTGATATAAAGAGAACGGAAGAATTTTACATTGTTTTGAAGGAGAGCTTTTGCAAGACCATAAGCACCTTCGACACTTATTGAATTCCATCCAAGACACAGCGTAGTGATTGTCTGTTTTATACATGGAAAGAGGGGTTGAAAACAGAATGTGAGAATGTTACTTTGTTTTTGTGGAGAGTT